CTGTGTGGCCTTGGGCAAGTTGCTGTGCTTCCGTTTCCTCAGTTGTCACCAGGATTTAATGAGATCAGCGCTGAAATGGAGTGAGCACTGGGCATTTCCCCGGGCATCACGCGGAATTCATTACGCACGGCGCATAGCATCTGCACAACAGGCAGGTGTCACCATCATCCCCATTTTACAGGAACCAGAGGCTCTGCAAGGTGAAGTAACTTGTCCGGTCACTCAGCTGGGAATGGTGAAGCCAGGATGTGTTTGGCTCCGAAACAGTGCCCCTAATCACCCTACCTACTCCCTTGCCCTGTGCATGTCATGTGTTCAGAACACCTGCACATGGAGACTGCTCTGTAAATGACAGCTGTGATTGTCACTGACACATGCTAAGGCTTTCTCCCCCAGCGCCACCTGGGGCAAGGACATTTAACAGCTCACAAACACCTCCTGGAGGCAGCATTTAGCCAAAGAACCCTGTGGTGCTCAAAGACTGAGAGATTCTGGTCTCCATTCTCCCATTTCTACAGTCCTCACAGTCCCAAGGGCAATCAATTTACTCCACACCCTCCTCCTTGCTGGTTCCTGCAGCTTCAGAGGCCACGGATAGATGCCCCCCATGCGCCCCCGGAGCCCCAACCTGCTGCAGAGAAGCAGAGTATGTAACCACAATTAACAGCTGACGAAGAGCCTTCGCTTCTCCTCACACCTCCGCCTACATCACCACCGTCACCATGGCCAAACAGATTTTAGGACGACCTACCACGCGACCAGTTAGCTGTTCCTTCCTACTGGTCAGTGGTGCAAAAGTGAGGCCTGACAACAGGGGAATTTTTCAGCCGTCCACCCCAGCCGCTCGTAATAGCCAACTTTGTGCTAAGGAAGGGCCAGGTATGGGTTACCACTGCACGTTGACCGGATCGGGCCTTGGGTTACACACACGCGCACGCACACACACACACACACGCGCACACATACGATTCAGAATCAACACCCAGGCTTACCCCACTGGACCCAGTTGGGTGGGGGATGACGGATCCAGGCCACCATGGATAATGTACCAAACAGATAATCTGCTTATGAGTAATTGAGCTCATTGTTAGTGCCAACGTCTAAAGCTACCGGCTGAAATTCCGTATCACTTTCCAGGGGAGAGGAAGACTCTTCTGGAAACGTAGCTCATGTCTCATTTCCAATTCTCGGGTTGTCCAATGAGAGAACACAAAACAACCCACAACTTATCTGGTTCCTTCTCCCCCCAGCACATATCCCACCTGGAGACCCAGGGTTCTTGACTGGGAGGGGTTTCAGGAAGTCAGGACACCCCCTACCAACAACTTTTCCCAGCCTTAGCAGTGAACTGTTCTGGACCATTCCACTGACGGGAGCAGCTTTCATTTAAGGATGTGATCCAGTTGAGGCAAATCCAAATCTGGAAATGTTTCTCCTCCTACCACACTCACTTCTTCTGCCTCATGGAGGCCCTGCCTAGAAAACCATCCGACTTCATCTCCTCCCAGAGAAACCATTAAGCAGCCACACTCCTGCCCAGCTAGCGATGTTCTGGCCTTGGGAAGGTCTTCCTGCTGATGAAGGGAAGCCCTGCACCCACCACAGCTGAGAACACTCCTGTCCAGACCCATGGCCGGTTATGCCGCAAAACTCTCTAGGAGAGGCGCACCTGGCTGGCTCAGTCAGTGGAACATGTGATTCTTGATCCCAGGGCTGTAAGTTCAAGCCCCATGTTGGGTGTGGAGATTACTTAAAAATAAAATCTTAAAAAAACAAAACAATGAGCCACACTTACAGGCACAAGTCCCCAGCCACATCCCAGGGCAGGGCCAGCTGTTCACGTGTGAGAGGAAGAAGAAGCTTCCGGTGGATGGGTGGATGGACGTGGTGGGGAGTAGACAGAAAGGGAGGGGGCAACCTTTTCTTCATGGGTCAGGGGAGTGGAAGAAAGGGAAACAGAATGGGGTCAGGGCTAGAAGCCACTCTCCCCCTCTCCCCACCTCTGGCCTTGGAGCAGACATTTAGCTGTCCTAAGAGATATTGACCACAACAAAGACCCCACTGAGAGCCCATGACCCACCCAGCACTCCTTTTCCACCACAGCCCCCTTCACGGTCTGCCTGACATACGCCTCAGGAAGCCTAGGGTCTAGAACAGCAGGCCAGGCTACGTCATCTAAGTCTCTTGTCCCCAACAGTGCCCACGTCACATGGTGGGTGTTCAGCAAATACCTGTCAGCTTAAATGAACTGTTATTCATAAGGACCCATAGCAGGGGGGTGGGAGATGGGGGTCACAGGTGTCCGGGAGCCTGGGGCAGTCAATGCCTCCGAGGGTGGGGAAAGAGAGAGAGGGGGACTTGGGGCTCTGTTACCTGTATCCTGTCTTCTGGTAGCTCCGTTTTCATGGCCAGCATCTCCCGGGCATAGACATCTGGGTAGTGGGCTTCATTGAATGCCTTCTCCAGCTCCTCTAGCTGGTAGGAAGTAAAGATTGTCCTAAGGGGAGCAAAATGACACACTCAGGATCCAGCAACTGAAAGACACTGTTCCAGAGAGGATAGAATGGACCTCCTCTATGCCACCTGGACAGACCCCAAATACAGGCTGGCTCAGCACAATCCGACATAAACTCCTTCACACACACACTCATAGCTTAACACTCTAGACTCGTCTTCATTCAACACTGAAGATCCACCCTGCCCTTCTCGGGAGGACATTATTTCATCATGTCGGTGACATTTCATAGTGGGAGTCTTTCTAGAAGCGATTTGGGGGAAAGGGTGTTCAGAAATTTTAGAAAACTGTAGAAAGCCCTTCTTCTTCCTTCTAAGCACAGAGTGAGGGACTCACCAGATAACTTAAAGCCTCTGGCCCCCTGGGACCTGCTTCCCAGTTTCCTCTCACAGACAACAAGTAGTATAATAGTCGATCCTTTTTTATTTGGTCGTTGACCTTTTAATGACATCCAAGTTCAAAGACCCACCAGAAAGTCAAATGCAACTGCAACCCCAGTGTTTGTACAGCTGAGAACTGAATCTCCCACCTCCGCATGCACCCCAACACCTTGCCCTCCTTATCGGCCCTTCCTCTGCCAGCATCCAAATTTACTAGCTCCTTAGAGCTGCCTGCAGACCCCCTCCACTTCGGGGCGGTCCATTCTGGTCACTCTCACTCTGAGAGAGCCTACCTACACAACCCCCACTCCCCACAGAGCAGTTTCCATTGACCTGTTTGGGTCCTGATCCGTTTTAAAAATCTGGTACAAGCTACAGCCTTTCTTTCGCCCTGGGCCAATGTGCAAATGAATATGGTCCAACACAAAATTTTACCTCCAATATCAGGGGCTTCATGGAGCCCATCTTTTTTTCCATGAACTATACACATCCACTTAAAGGCACAAATTCTTCTCTTTTCAGACCTTATAGTCCAGATTCCACAAACCCATTTGTAAAAATGGTACATTCCATGCTTGAGCCTCTGGGATCTGACCCTGGGACCAGCACGGGGTGGGGGGTGGGGGGTGGTTAGAATCCTTCACTGACGGCCCTCACTTTCACCCTTACCCAACACAAGGGAAAAGTATAGGTGTAAGCCCCAGTAGGTCCTTGTGCTGGTGTGTCGGCTTTAATATCTTGGGGGATGATGCAAGGGATGTGTGAGGAAGAAAGATTCTGCCCTTTATAGAAAATGACTGGCTTGATTCTAAATCGTTTCTCCTATTCTCCTGGGAGGGGGGAATGGAATGTTTATGTATACAGAAAGTGAATTCTTCAGAATTTTGAAGATCTGCTGGTTTCTATTTTGCTCTTGTCACTTACTAAAGGGCCCCTGGAAGAGATCGTCCAAATAAACAATCAAAATATGCAAGCCGTTTTCAAAACTAGGGAAACAAAGTCACACAGGTATTGTAGTTTGGCCAAAGCCAAAGAAGAGACATTTAGAGATTTAGAACCATTCAAGTGCCAGCCTCTGCATGGGAGAGCTCTCATTGAAAAATAAAACAAAATAAAACCTCAAATCCCCCAAACTTTCCCTTAGTCCTGCCTCAGAGCGAATCCCTGTGTTGACACCCGACGTGCCCTCCAGGGAGCCTCCTGTATCCCCAAAGTGGGATCCAAACCCTGCTCCTGGCTTTGCGCAGAACCCCAGCCCCTTTTGGTGCCCACTGCATCCTGTCTGCAGAGCTGAGCTTTCCCAGTACAGAGAAGTGCAAAATCTGAGAGACTCCCAAGGCTTCTGCTCCATCCCTCCTCCCTTCTCTAAGCCCAGCATATTTCAGAGAGAAAAAGAGATGCCCATCTCTCATCACCAGACTCTAGGGTCTCTTACCTGAAATCCTCAAATGAGAGAAGTTCAGGAAAAAATATTTTTTACTAATTAAAAGCTGCACTGGCAATCAGTCGCCATTCTAATAATATCTCTAATAATCTGCTCCCTTCGTGCACCAGACATAACCTGAAACCCAGGGCAGGTGGTGAGTTATACTGTCGCACAGAGAAGCCTCCAAAGCTCCCAACCATCTCCTCAGAGGGGAGAGTGTCAGAGGAGGACAGTCGGGAGCGTTAAGCATAGACTTTGGGCTATGGGTCAGCCAGCTCCAGGTGCCACACAAGGACATGTCCTGGAACAGAAACACTGTTCTGGCATGCAGGGGATGCTTTTTCCAGAACTCTCCTTGCTATGTGAACCCTGCTTCTCATTCCATACCAGCACAGAAGCAGTTCAGCCCGGACTCTGAACTGTCCTCCCTCCATGGTCCCCGCGTCTGTCCCTGCTCGGGGAGGCTGACAGGATTGCCCACCCTGGGACCAGCACGAGATGGGCGCACTAAAAAATGTTCTAATGAATATGTGTTGGATGAATGAATGTCCAAAGTGACCCAGGATCAATGCTTCCGTTTAAAACAAAACGAAGCTAAACAAAACAAAACCACCGCCGGGGTTACTGAGAAACCAAGTCAAAGTTCAGCCTCATTCCAGCCTGAACCTATTGGGGTCTTAGAGGCCAGGAAAAGCCATTTTACAAGGTGGAAGCCAATAGAGGGGTTTTCAGGGGCTAAGGAAGAGGAAAATGCAAAAAAGTACCCAGAGAAAGGGTGCCAAGAGGCTGAGAACGAATTGGGGAGAAGAGGATGGGGTGGAATGCAGCAGGGAGAACTCGCAGGGGAGAAATGTTGGGAGAGTCAGCAGGAACCCTGTGGAGATCCCACCTAGACTGGTGCGCAGAGAGAGATTTGGGGAAACACACCGGAGGGTGAGCACTGGGAAGGAGTCTGGAGGCAGCGCTTGCAGCCAGTCGGGCAGATTTCTGGTTCTTGCTTCTCTATTTCCTTAAAAACCTCCCCATAAATTCCTACAAGGACCGGGTAGCTTGTGGAGTGGATGTGGACAGGAATGAGAGTCTGGGGTGGGGGCGGAGAGGGTTTACTTTTCAGGAATTACCTTTCAGCACCTATTACATTGCAAAAATGTGCCAGTAATGCCAGTTTGAAGGCATATCTTTTAAAATTCTCCCTTTAGGCTGTGCCCTAATGCAGCCCACTCCACTCCAGCTGGGGCTGGCGGGGTCAGCCAGTCCACACACCTTCCCTCCCCATTTTACAGACGAGGAAACCGAGGCTGGGGGACGGGAAGAGACTGTCTCAGGATCACAAAAGAGCAGAAGCCTAACGAAAAATTCCCATCAGTGCAGGTATCACGCTCAAGATTTGGGGAACGGTGGGAGCAGAAGACTGGGGGGGTGTGGCAGAGAGGACAGGGACCGCGGGAGAGGAAGGCGGTCCCGGGGGCCGAGGGCAGAGGGACCGGCGTGCGCGGGAGGTACGCGCGGCTTTCCGAAGGTGCTGGTGCAGGGATCGAATCTGGGGGCCGTCTGCCCCTCTCCGGCTCGGGTTTGGCCTTTCCTTTCTCCCGAAGGGAAAAGCCCGCCCCGTGCCGCCTCCCCGGAGGCCACACACCATCCTCGCCCCGTGTGGCTGGACGCCGGGGTCCCGGGCGGATGCCCCCAAACAACGTTCGGTCTCCCCGCCCCGGCACAGCCTCAGGTTTCAACTCACGAGCCGGCGAAAACAGGGTCGGAGCGACCCGACCCCCACACAGGACACGGCAGGGAGTGGGTGAGCAGAAGAGGTAGCAGAAGGCGCCGCAGGGGCCTTACCTGTGTCTCCGCTTCTTCCGTTTCTTGGTCTGGTTTAAAGCCGATTTGGACATTTTTCGGTCGCTGGAGGAAACATCTTCAGAATCTGAAAAGCGGGCGGAGGCACATGCGGCAGGATGGGGGGAGCGCTCGCCGGCGCCCGGGGACTTGAGACGCCCGAAGCCCGCGAGGGCCCCACCCCGGGCCGCCTGCGGAAGCGCCGGGGGCCTGCTCTGCCCGCCTCGGAAGCCCTCCGAGAGGGCGACCCCATCCCTAAGCCCCGGCTGGCTGTACCCGCGCCGGCGCCCCAATCCGCAGATTTTGAACAGATTTCGTTGCAAGAGAGGCAAAGGCCCCAACGCGCCTGGGGCAGGGACGGCGGTGGAGCGAGGCAGCCTCAGGGAGTCGCGGGGCCCGCGGGCGGTGATCCCCGCGCTGCGCCCTGCCCCGCGCCGGCAGCGCCGGCGCCCCGGGCCTTAAAGTTGGCCCCGAGGAGCGGAGCCGAGGCGCCGGGAGCTGGGCGCCGGGAAGGGCTGGGGTCTCCCCGGGCACAGCCCCTTTTTTCCGTGCCTGCAGAATGCGCCCCCGCTCGAGACTGGAGAGACTGCGACGCGCCACTTTTCGTTGCCCCTCCAAATAAAAATAAATAAATAAAAAGATAAACGAAAAATCGGGGGAACTGCCGAGCGAGAGCACGAGCCGGAGCCCGAGCGGGTGGGGACGCAAGGCCGGGAAAGCAGTCCAGGGAGGGCGCGGTGGGGTCGTCCCGGGGGCCCCCCCCCCGAGCCGGCAGGCGCCGGCATCGGATATATTGTGGCGTTTAGGAGCAACTGAACGGCGGCCGCTTCGGCCGCAGCAGAGGCCAGGTTGTCCGAGCGCGTGGGGTGAAAAATAAACCCCAGCTGACCAACGTGGGCGTTGTGGAACGGAGAAAAAAGAGGAAGGAACAACAACTTTGGATACCAGGGCTGGGGCCGAAGCGGGCACCCGCTTCCCCGGGCCTCCAGCACACGGAACAGAGCGAGGGTCCTCCGGGAGGCCGGGGCCGCAGTGGGGCAGCGGAGCTGGGGGCCCGCAGCCCGCCCCACGGGCTCCGACACGCCAAGCCCGGTTTCCGGTGGGGCCCCAACCTGGCGCCGGGGCAGAGCGGGGCCCGACGAGGGGACGAGAGAACAGCGCGGAGGCCGGAAACGCCGGGGCCGAAACCAGGCGGCCAGCGGGAGCATCCTCGGGGCCCCTGCCCCGGGCGCGCCAGCCCCAGGCCGGAGCTGCGACCCCTCGGCCAGGCGCGAACTTTTGCGCCCGGGGGAGGCCTTGCGGTGCCAGCGAAAGCCGACGGCGTGGAGCTCCGGCTCTTGCCCCCAGTCAGGCAGCCTGGCAGCCTCGCCCTCACCTACCCGAGCTGGCCGTCTGGCTGGTGTCCAGCGGCCCCGACGCTCTGCCCAGCGGCTGCAAGTGGACGCTCTGCGGGTCGGACAGCACTTCCAGGAAGGTGGGCTGCGCGTAGAAGCCGGGGAGCCCCCCGGGCCCCAGCAGCCCCATGCCGCCCACTCCTGCGGGACTGAGCACGGAGCGCGCCGCCAGCAAGTGCCCGGGGGCCAGGCCGTCGAGGGCAGCCCGCGGGTGGGAGCTGGGGGGCTCCTTGTTCAAGCCCAGGATCTCCTGAATGCCGAACCCCGTGCACCTGGCCGGGGCGACCCCCGAGGAACTCTTGGCCACAGTCTCGGATTTGGGCTTGCTCAGCGCTTCCCCCGCTTTCCCCGTCATCTCCCGGTTCTTTGGAGGGGCTGAGGCCGCAGGTCTTTCGCTCCCCCCACCCCCCCGCCGGGCTCCCCGCTTCGCGAAGTTGGTCCCAGGTGCCCCCTCCGGTGTCTAATGCTCTGGAGCCCCAAGGAGATTCCCCTTTTATCCAACCAGGCGGCAGCCCAAGTGGGGTCAGAGCTGAGCAGCCAATCACCGGGGCCAGGAGCATTAGGAATTCCAAAAAGCTGGCAGCTCCCGCCGCAGGCAGTACCGAGGGGCCAGGGCGCTGGGGGCCGGGCACCGGGTGGACTCGGCAGGACGCCCATGGGCAGGGACCCCAGGGGCTGAAACGAGTCAACAAGGTTCAGGGCTGTTCCAGGAGGCTGGGTGGCTTGGGATTCTGGGCAGAGCCTGGCTGGGCCAGGTCCCTGGGGTGCGGTGGGAGGATGGGCTGAGGGCCGGCGCTAGAGGCTGGGAGTCCTCCTCCCTCCTTTGTGTCCAGTGCAGGTTGACAGGGTCAGAGAAGCCCAAATATGGGATCCTTGTGTAAAAGGCAGAACAAGGAAGAGGGGTAAGTGGGCTGGGCAGGGTGTGTGGTGGCATGGGAGAAAAGAGGGGGCCAGGGTGTGAAGAGGGAGATGTGTGGGTGGGAAGGGCTCCACATTTGCCTTGCGGCACAGGATAAAGTGCCTGGTTCAGAAGAGCTACTCAGTAAACATTGGCCCAATGAATAAATGAATGCTAAAGGGGTCCAGAGTAAGAGTCTCTGGTAGGAGAGAACAGTGGTGATTTCATTTGGAGAACAACCATGGCCATCTGAACATCTTCCTAGAGTAAGCATGACGTGTGCCCAGCTTCCATGGAAGGACTTCATTTATTCTTCCATCCATTCATTCGACTAAAACGGACTGAGCACCTTACCAGCTCTGAGCTAGGAGCCAGGGGTTCTGCAGTAATTCAGATAGACAACACAAGGGATCGGCTATCCCTTAGAGTTCACTGAGCACACAGAACGAAGAGGATGGGATTGTTGGTGGGGAGGAGAGGGGTGGCGAGAAGGCGTTAGAGGCCATTAAAAGGTGAGATCGTGTCTCTCGTTGAGTGGGATCCCTTGACTAACTCCTGTGTTGGAAGTTGCAGAATTGCCACCAACTGGGCCAGGTGAAAAGTGGTGAGAGGCAGGAGCCTTATCTGGGGAAAAGCCTGAATTCCAAAAGTGGGCAGTGGAGCCACTGGTTTCCTGCTTGAGGGCTCTGCAGGGAACATGATCCCCTTGGGCCCAAATGTGAAGTGAAGGTGATTCTACACACACACACACACACACACACACACACACACACACACACACAGACACCTGCCATGGACCTCTGAGCCCCTGCATTACACCAGCTCAGCTAATTCTTCTGTAACATTCTTGGGGCCAGGGACTGTCTTATCTACGTTGGCATCCCCCTCTACTGTGCCTAATATACACTAGGTTTTAAATCTTTCTTTCCTTTCTTTTTCTTTTTCTTTCTTTTTTCTTTCTTTTTCTTCCTTCCTTCCTTTCTTTTCTTTCTTTCCTTCCTTCCTTTCTTTCTTTTTTTCTCTCTCTTTCTTTCTTTCCTTCTTTCTTTCCCTTTTAAGAGAAGTAAGCCTTTATTTCCTTGCTTCACAAATAAAGTTGGTTGAATTGATTGTTTTAAATATTTCTTGAATCAAATTCACCCTATCAGGCAAGATAAAGACAGGGTTAGTTTCCTTAGGCCAAGACTGGAAAGCCAGGCTGGGGGAGAGATTCCATTCAGGATTTCTTGGCCAGTCAGCTGCAACCCCCCAAATAAATCAAAACCTCCTAACCCAGCCTACTGCCAGGGTGTCTAGTGCCCTTTGTGGTTGGCATGAGACCAAACTGAGAGGTAAGAGGAGACCCCATAGGGTATGGAAACTGAGGTCTTGCTATCAGGGCTGTTATGAGATGGGTCTCCGCTCACTGTGGCCTGGTCCACACAAGAGCTGGAATTAGATTGGGGTATTTCTCAGTGAGGGAAGTGTCTGGAAGAAGTAAACTGTTCACTCCAAGGCCTGCCTCCTCATCCCATAATAATGTCATTCCTACTGTGCGTCTATCTTGCTCATTCCCTTTAGGCAACATAATCTGTCCTCACAAGAACCCTTTTAGTGTCTTGGATCCACAACTGAAAGTTGACATAGCTATTCTTGTTTTTTTTTTGTTTTTTTGTTTTTTTTTCTTATTTTTTTCTTTTCCTTTCCTTTTCTTTCTTTTTTCTTTTCTTTCCTTTTCTTTTCCTTTCCTTTTCTTTCTTTTTTTCCTTTTCTTTTCCTTTCCTTTTCTTTCTTTTTTCTTTTCTTTCCTTTTCTTTTCTTCTTTTCTTTTCTTCTTCTTCTTCTTCTTCTTCTTCTTCTTCTTCTTCTTCTTCGTATAGTTGATACACGTGGCATAGATATTCTCACTTGCAAAGTGCAGATTCAAAGATATGCAATCTTGAGGTAACCTCCACCTTGTATTCTATGGATTTGGGTTCCATGTGGCGTCAGTCACATAGATAACAATATAAGTGGTGCCCCCTGGAGTTGTGCAAAGCAGTGGCTTTCCCTTCCCATTTTATGAATATGGAAACTTAGGTTCCCAGAGAGGTTAGGTAACTTGTCCCAAGTGACCGAGCTAGTAAGCGGCAAAGACCAGACTCCACCTCAAGGGAGTCTGGTGTCAAAAGCTGTTCTCTTTTGACTTCATTCCTCTCTTGGCCTCCTCTCCATGTCAGCCTACCCTGGAAGGATGAATGGGGATGTTATGTTAATGGCATCTGTCATGTCACTAACTTATCACAGGACATCCACGATAAGCCAGATGTCACCCGATGGGCAAGGATGTGAGTGATGGAAGCTCAGCTCTTGCCAGGAGATGGGGATGAAAAATCTCTTGACCAAACCCTGTATCTGAAGCTTCTAGTTCCTGCCTTCAGGGAGATAGTTACCACCTTGACCTAGAAGTTGGGGATGGGGGCAACCCCATGCCCTCTGGGAGGCACCCTTCCAGAGGCTACAGGTGGAAGGAGGGCCCAGTGTCAGCCTGAAGCCAGTCCCACCCTCAGATGTGAACTTCTGACAGATTCCTGGTAGGGGTGGACAGGTGTCCGAATTTGGAGGTTGGAGGTGGGGGGGAGTGAAGTGTACCCTTCTGGAGACATCTAGCTAGGTCACACCAGATCCAAATCCTGGGTCTTCTGCTTCGCAGTTCTGTGGCTTTGAGCCAACCATTAAATTCTCTCTTAGCTTTGGTTGCTTTGCCTACAAAACAGCCTGGTACTGGGACTTGTGAGTACCCCCTGGTCCCCTGAATTAGCACTGTGGCCGAGGGCATGGACTCTAGAGCCAGACTGCCTGGGTTCAGATTCATTGCCCTATCACTTACTTGGTGACCTTGGGAAAGTTACCCAACTTCTTTCTGCCTTCTGTGCCTCAGTTTCTTCATCCATAAAATGGGGATAACGGTAGTAACTACCCCTTAGTATTGTCAGGAAGATTAGACATGTACAGTGCTGGAAAAGGTGCAAAAAGCTATACTGTGAACGTACAAAATACATTTCTTGTGAGTGTTCGTTTCTATTATCATCCTGCAGGAGCATACTGTACCTGGCAATATGGTAGGGAACAGGACAGATCCAGTCCCAGCTTGCATGGAGTGACTGATGCAGGTAATATTTTGTGTTTGTTTAATTTTTTAAATGTTTTATTTATTTTTTGAGAGAGAGAGAGAGAGAGAGAGAGAGAGAGAGAGAGAGAGAGAGAATGCAAGCAGGGGAGGGGCAGAGAGAGAGGGAGACAGGTTCCAGGCTCCGAGCTGTCAGCACAGAGTCTGATGTGGGGCTTGAACCCACGAACCACGAGATCATGACCTGAGCCGAAGTCAGACATGTAACCCACTGAGCCACCCAGGTGCCCAGGAGGTGATATTTTGAAAACACTTAGCATGGTAACTGACCCTGGGGACTCAATACATCATAGCTCTTAGTATTATTATTAATGGGTGCCAGACCCCTTACCACACTGAATCCACTCAATTTCTCTGACAGGTCAGGGGTTTTGTCCCCCTTGTGACAAATAAGACAATAAGGCTCAAGGAGGGAGATCCGGGAGTAGGCTACCCCTCTCCCTTGCCGTAGTGCTGGTCATTTTCAGCACCGGCTGTAGCCAAGTCATTTTTCTCCCCCGTAAGCCGCCTCCCTGAGTCACTACCCAGCCGTCAGCAACAATTTTTGGAGGGAGGAGGGGGGAAATGCAAGGAAGAGAAAGGATGTGTGTTTGAATCAATAATCCCATTATGAATCTGTCACCCATAAACGTGTTTCACTTTTTTAAATGCTCTTGTGTATTTTGGGCTTACCCCTGGAGAGTAAGCCTTCTCCTTTGTTGTGCTGGCCAGTTCTCCTGAGGGTCTCCTCAGAGAGCCTCAGAGGCCCTCCTCTATCACCGTCCTGTCATCAGACATTGGACTCGACATTCCACTTTCTTTGTTTAGTCAAGGGGCTGATGCTGGGAGAAAAACAAGAGAGATTCTGATTCACATTTAACTGATGTACGGTGAACATGTATTAATTCCTGGACTTTTTGACATCGTCTCAATGCATCCTCCCAGCTACCCTGAAAGACGTGTATCATAATGCTTTCCAAGTGAGGAAGCAACCTCAGAGAGGCCAGGTGACCTCCCCAGGAACATGCAGCCACCAAGGGCCGAGTGGAATCTAGACCCACTGCTTTCTTGTTCTCTCTCTCTCTTTCTTTAAGCGCTAGGCCCGACATGGGGCTCAAACTCATGACCCCGAGATCAAGAGTCACATGCTCTACCACTGAGCCAGCCAGCTGCCCCTCTGGTTTTCCTGAAGATGGAATCAGAGCCTCAAGGAGAGAAAGGGACCTTGGATATAAGGAGGCGAATGGAGTCCCAGTAATGCTTGAGCCACCATCCAGCCTCACTGAGAATGGGGGACAGGGAAGGAAGGGCCACTGAGGGAAAGGAGGGTGAATCCCCAGAGTCAGGGCTGCTAAGAACATCTTACTTCACACACCTGGGCCCGTTTTCTTTTCCTAGTTCTCCAGGGAACAATGCCCTTTGGACTTTTCTTGGAGGGTCTCAGGGAGTGGGAAGGAAGGAACACACTTTGGACAATGCTTTCAAGCCAGCCTTGTAGAAAGTCCTGTCTCCCGTCAGTCACCTTCTAGGTGCCACCTGAAGCTCCCCTGAGGATCTTATCCCAGCAGAACACCACCCACCAGGGTTCAGCTGCCCATAACCCCTGCGCCCTCCCACCCTCAGCATGAAAGCTTCCTTCTTTAGCTCCCAAGGGAAAAGGAAAACATTCCATTCATGTGCCCTTGTCTCTTCCCCAGTGTTCACTATGGGCAGTGTGGAACAATGGAGGGGGGAAAAAAAGCTTAGAGGACTCGTTCCATTAGCCTGCTGCATGCCCCTTGGCTGTGTCTCAGTTTCCCTTCAGTCTCAGGTGGTAGGAATGACCACATCCCTGATGCCCTGAGAGGGTGTTTGTTCTGATTTATCCCACAGGACTTTTCATGACAACTTAACCCAGTACCTTCAAAAAGTATATATAGTGTACCTAACCTGTGCCAGATACTGTAGGTGGGAATACTGTGGGCTGAAACAAAGCAAAGCCCCTGTTTACGTAGAATTCAGGTTCTGGTTGTGGGGGATAGTTAACAGGCAAGTAAAGGAACAAGCAAGATAATTTAAGAAGGCGAAAGTATTGAGAAAACAAAGCAGGGTGGGGGGCTGTAGACAGATTACAGAACGGGTCTCTTTTGGAAGAACAGGGAGGACATTCTGGGGAGTCAACATCTGGGCAGAGACCTGAGTCATGAGAAGACAGCCATGGG